AAAGAAATAAGATAGAATAAGGTCCTAGTATACTCAAGATTAAGGGTTTAAATGCATACTTTTTAGTGCTTATCATTGACGATCGATCATAGAATTCCACGATCGATCATGATTAGCCTGGCAGTGAGCTGTTTTATTCCCGACATCGCCTGAACTTTACCTACCAAATGGTTGCGAGATTAGATCTTTTTAGGGCCCAATTCTACTTGTTTAGCACTCCAAAGGTCTTGTATAAAAGGGGAAATGAGCTATTTGTAAAGGGGAATTCATATTTTTACATTGTAACTTATATATATTTTTAGTTTTCTCTCTAGAAAAGTTAGAGATTAGGGTTTTGGGAAAAGAGGAGAGTGGAGGCTCCAAAAACACATCTCAAGATCTATACACTTTTTCTCTATAATTCAACAAAGAAGAAGAGGAAGAAGATGGAGCTATGTTTGGAGATAGCCCTTGAGTGTTCCATGACCACATCCACCTCCTCCATGATTGGCTAGATTTCTCCTTGGGGTTTGGATGAGCCCCAAGTTTGTAATCTAAACCCTTATCTTTCATCTTTTTGGGAATTTATTTCTTGTGATTAGTGCTATAGCCTTGTGTGTAAAATGAATCTTGGGTCCTCCTTTGATTTTTATGGTTTAATTCTTCCTATTGATTTTTTATGTGATTATATGTTGTCTTATATGTGATTATTTGGAAATTGATCTCTACACTAGATTCTCGATGTTGGTTGCATGTCTATGTGTGATTAATTGAGGATTTAGTGATGGCTATGCATGATCTTTATTGGATGGATTTGTCAATTAATTTGATGGATTATACTTATGCTTGATAGGTTGCACTAAACCCTAGTTTACTTGTTGTTAGGTAGACAATCCATGCTTGAATTGATAGTCCATTGCTTATTATTACAAATTCCATGATTCTGTAGATTGATGTATGCTACAATTGTTACTAATTTGATGAGTCATGCTTAGACTTGATGGGTTGTGCTATACTTAGTTTACTTGTTGGTTAGGTAGACAATTCATGCTTTAATTTGATGGTCCATGCTTAATATCGCATTTGGTAGTCGCATTTTGTTCACAAGAATGTTTTCCCCAATTAGTTGAAAGCTTGTGGTTTGATGAATGAGCTTGGTGGTGATTCCAACACCCCAAGACCTCTCTTCCTATCATTTAAACCCTAGCTCATTTAGTTTACTTTATTTGCATTTTAATTTCATTGCACCTTAGATTAATCATCGAACAACCCCCTCTTTGCAATCTTGTGAAACACTAAAGTCGAAATTAGACTCCAACTACGTGTTTAATCCCTACAGACGATCCCCACTCGCTATGCTTCATTAGTAGTAATAGTGGTTTTATAAATGCAAATTTGACTTTTTAAGCTTCCAAAACCACATTTACATTTTGACCTTGTGAAGCGACCTCTCGCAAGAGCGTTATCAAGAAGCTTAGCCACTCATGGAAAGTGTAGATGTCATTAAAGAGTCCTCTAGATCCATCCCCATGCCTTGGTTCATCTTTTCTTTCTTCTCGTTCTTCTTTGAAACTTTAGAGATGAGAGTGTTCTTGCCTTCACTTCAAAACCCTAATGTGTATCTCTTACTTTCTCTCTCTAAAAATATCTCTAACTAGCTAACCCTTTACAAAATAGTTCAATTCCATTTTTATATAAGACCTTTTGAGCCCAAAACAGGTCAGAAATAGGCCCCAAAATGATGCAATCCCGTAGCCATTAGGTAGGTGAAGATCCAGCAAAACCGTGCACAAAACAGGCTGTTAGCAGCAGGTGTGATCGATCGCACAGTGTTGCGATCGATCGCAACTCTGCTGCAATCGATCGTGTTAACGTGGCTTGACCTTAACCACTTTTGAACTTATCGCTGACTAGGATTTGTAATCGATCGTGATTGGCTTGCGATTGATCACAATGATGACCTGATTCCACAAAAAGAATACCACGTGGAACAAAGAGAAAGGAAAACTTTTTACCATATGACCCGATTCCACAGCAGACGATTATTTATCCAATTGTTTACATGATAGTAGTCAAATGCATGTATCAAGTATCCCACATGAAATCCAATTGTTTGGTGATTCGTTGTCAGCAAAACAATATGATATCTGTGTTGTAATCCAATTTTTTCTTTCAAACTGCCATCTTTAAAAAAGAAAATGAAGTATGAACGCGCAAAAGACTGCCACATGGAACAAAGAGATGGGAAATTTTTTTTACTTATTTTTCTTATCTATTTCTTTTTTTTTTTTTTTTTTTTTTTTTTTTTTTTTTTTTTTTTTTTTTTTGTCTAGTCAAGAAAGAGCCAGCAGGCCATTACAGGAATAGCAAGAAGCAAATAAAGCATAAGAACATTACAAAAGAACCATTAAAGAAGACAGCCAGATGACTCCCAAAGAAACTTATGCTAAAGCTAAGACATGACCACTGTCATGAGAACCAAAGCTTAAGCAGTTTCCAGGGTAGGAGACCGTCTAGCCCCTACTAACATAGCAATCTTTGTTGCACACGACTGAGAGGACTCGAAATTGAAGGAATCCGTCAACTGCGCTCCCAAGCCGCCGGAAGAACCTGAGTGAACACCAGCCAGACTACTAGGAGGACTCAACGAAGCCATCTGGCTCAAATCACCCCCTCCCATTCCCTTTCACCGCTTATCCCCCTTTTGCTTAGCTGCTGAAGACCCACCGGATAGTGTTTGACGACGTTTGCGACCCTTTCAAGCCAGCGAAGAGCCCTAACTATTTGAAGTGGCGGACGAATCCGAGGGAGAGCCCTTTCCAACTGTGGACTTTGCCTTGCCTTTCTGCCTTCCTTTAACCATTTGGGCCCAACACTCTAGCGGCAGAATCCGGCCTTTAATAGGAGAGGTAACTGGATCAAAGTTCACTGCATATTCCACCTGCATAGAAGCCACATGACTCTAGGAGGACGACCCTACCATAATACCCCCTTCAGGCACTGGCAATTGATCTGTCCCGGGATTAAAATCCACCACAACCCCCTTACCATTATTTTCCACCGCTGGCAGAATTGGTAAATCAATAGCACCTGTAGACCCCTCACCATGACCTTCTCCACCTAACATTCGATTTGGATCACCCACATATGACAGAGCAACCACTGATGGTTGTAAAGGAAGCATTTGAGGGCAAGAGTTTCTACCCAAATGGCTCCCAAAGATCCCATGAGAGTCACCAGGCCATTTAGGAAAAAGGACGAGCCAAGGAAGAGGAAGGGGAATGACCCATATCGTCCACTAGAGTCATTATCCTCCATATAAAGCCATTGTTTTTGATTTTCACCCCTACTAGCACTTCCATCCTTCTCTGGCTGCCATGAATCCCGCCCTATAAAGCCTTCGAACCTAAGCCAACCCCCATACTCCTTAAAATCCGGCATCCCGGGACCCCTTTCCACAGTACAAATTTTCCAGTGATGCCCAATGATGCCACATAAGAAACAAAAGGAAGGTAATTTTTCATACTGAATTTGAGCCGTGGAAGCCACCCCAGTTGGGTTATATAAGACCACATAACGTCTAAGAGGTTGCAAAACATTCAGCTCCACCTTAATGCGGAGAACCCGACTATCCGCAAGACCTTTCTCTTTACCATCCACACCACTTTTGTCCCGTAATTCAACTTTTAAGCATCTACCAAAGGAGTTAGCAATTCATTGGCCCACCTTTTCAGATTAGAAATCTGTCTGAACATCAGAAAGTTGTATCTAGAATGGAAAGACTTGGAACAGACCTTCAGAATTTAAAAGACCCTCCTTCTACACCTTAATAACCACAAGGTGGCAATCAAATAACCAAGGACATCCCTGAATCACCCCATGACGAACTCCTGTGTTTAGAATAATCAACTGGAATAAGTTATGTGCAACCTTAAAAACCTAAATCTGCTGGTACAGGGGTTGCTTATGTTGATTCTTTGGCCACAACTTAGCAAAAATCTTTCCAAACATAAACTTCGCACCTGCAAAAGTGATAGATTTAGAAGTCCAAACTTTGGCAAAAAGACTCTCAATACAAACCTGAACTCCTTGGGCCATATCCTCAGCTGTCAGGTGAATCGGCTCTTTCTCAGCCGGCGTTAAAGTCAATCCCCCGAGCTGTGTCAGAAGGTCTTGTTCTATGATCCCCTCATAAAAGAAACTACAGTTAAGAAACAAAGGGGGTATGAATATCGCCCACTTTGGCAATAAAGAAATAGAGAAAAGAGATAGAAGCCACACATATATGAAATAACGGAAGAACAACAAATAAATAGCCCAAACATAGCCCAAAGGCCAAGCACTGAGAGAACTCAACCATTTTTCCACCGCCATGGCAGTAGCACTGACGATAGGTGAAGTGACCGTCATGCACTGCTCGAGGTAATAAACCCTCAGAATTATCATATCACAAAGCATAGTAAAGACGGCTTATAAGCCTATCCACAAGCCCAAGCACTGTAACCTCTGAGAAGTGAAGAAACAAGTTACCCAATAAAGGTGGTACGTCTTAGTCAACAGGATTACGTAGTTGGGCAGAGACATAGGTCTCACCAGATAAACAAAATCGAGAACCTTCCCTAATGTCAGCAAGGACACCATCCTAACAGTGACCGACATCCACAACACTAACAACAAGTGCCGACAACAAATGGTACACCAGTGAGCACCCTTACCACTGCCGGCAAACCCCTTCCCCCCTCGACCATGGAACCAGTAACCCCCCAACACCCACACAGACTGCCAATAAATCGTCAAAAACAACCATTTTCTCAGCAACCCCTATCCCAACCCTAGCGGACCATCTCCAACCAGAGCCCCCCAATTTAAAATAGGTCCTAACTGCCCCCCTCCTCCTCCCTTCTGACCAACACCACTAATCAACACCCCACACATCGGACTCATGATAGCCCGCCAAAACAATGGAGACAGAAGCGGAGTCGGATTGGTACACCAATGAATTGGAATTGAGAAAAATTACGAAACGAAGCCATACCAAACAACCGAAACCGGAGTAATCCAAACCCAAACTAGACACCAAACACTTAGCATAAACTAAACACCAAACATCCAGACTGATAAACAAAAGGAAACCCCAGAAACCCAGAGATTGAAGGAATTCACCCAGATCCAACCAAAACACAGCCCACCAACCAGATCCAAGCAGACCACCCTCAAAACAACAGGGAACAAAGAAAACCAGAACGGAAAAGTGAAGAAACACCACTCAAGGTGACCAAACAAAGGGACACAACACTCCAGACTCTCTATACAACGAGAAAACTCTTATGTCAGATAAACCCTTGACGGCGTAAGGAAACTTTGTTATGACTTTTTCCGATTGATGTTTTTCAAAACATCTACTAAGGTATTCGACAACTATTTTATATTAACTTCTTACTTATTTTTCTTATCTATTTCGACAACTATTTTATATTAACTTCTTACTTATTTTTCTTATCTATTTCGACAAATATTTTATATATTTATTTTATTATTTTTTTCAGATGTTATTTTATGATATTTTAGCAGGGAAAGTTCACACGGCTTGTCAAGCTTGTTCCCTCGATAGTATTCGTTTCTTGTCGGGGAGAGAATTACGTTTGGTCTAATCTGTACCAAAAACCCATATTCCTCTACAGCAATAATCTGTGTGCTCGTCTCTGCCTTCTCCTCTCTTTCTCTTTTGGGTAACTTTTACTGCTTTACTTCTATGTATATTTCTTCACTTAAAGAAGCATACCTATTCTCTCTGTTCCATTTTGTATCTTTGGATTCATACCATATATGAAGAGATTCTGTGAATTTTGTGAAATATAAATAATGGGTGTTCCTTATTTGTTCAAATATGGACATGAGTTGGGTCTTTTAATTCTTTTTTTGGCACTACACGTTTCAATTTTTTTTTAATGATATTTAACTAAAATTATCGCAGCAGGATGGGGGTTTACATCATATGATTTTCAACTGATCAAGGAAAATTTGCTGAATTAGGATATCAAGATCAGTTCTTGGGTTGACAAAAATTTTAATAGCTTTGTCTTTTGGTCAACTGTTGAATTATAGACTATCTGATGTAAAGAAATAATGTAATTGCTTTACTCTATTTCCGTATTTATTTTAGGTTGGTGCTCTCCATACGTTGGTTATCAAGATAATATGACTGAGCACTTTGGTAATGCAAGTGCAAGCTCAAGCTCAAGCTCAAGTTTAAATAGCAGTTCTCATGATACAGAGGATGACCAAACCATTGCCAAAATTCTAGCAGAAGATGAAAGTCAGAAAAATGGTGGAAAGCTAGGGAAGAGACTTTCTCATTTGGATTCCATCCCGGTAATATAATCGCTTCAGACAAGCTTTTCTTATAGAAGTACTCCTTTCATATGTTACTTTCATAAACAGTCTTTTTCCTCTTGTTCAAATATCTGCACTTAATATATAGCCGTCCCGAAATTTAACATGGTATTGAGGCACTTATATTATGATGTTATTGGAAGTAAAAATTCTTTCTTATCAATTAGCATGACATTGTTTCAGAACACGTTTTCCCCTTAGGTAGTATTATCGTAATTCTATTGAAGTATGTGTTTGATTTGCCACCTAAATGAGCCTTGTACCAATGACATAATATTATATTGAGATGGTAATAAATATTTCACCAAATTTTATGTCACGACCTCTATGGACGGGTGTGATGTGGGTGGGTGCGAGCAGGGGCGGAGTCAAGATTTTAATTCAGAGGGGCCGCAGTGTAAAAAAAAAAAAAAAATTATAATTTAAATAAGAACAAAAAAAAAAAAAAAAGAAATTACATACTATATACATCATTCTTAAATGCAAAAAGAAGAATGTTAAGAAGTAGGGGGCCAAAAAAAATTAATAAGAAGAAGAAGAAAAGGGAAGAAAAATGAGAAATTTGAAAGGGAAAAAAAAATTAGAGTTTGAGTAAAGAAGGAAAATTTAACTTCTTTTTAAGGAAATCAAAGGAATATTAAGAGCAAAAGAAAAAGGAAAGAAAAATTTTAAAGACAATTTTAGAAATTTAAAATTTTAGGGGGGCATTATATAGAAATTTTCTTATAAATGTACAAATTAAAATAAAAATTACTATATTTTATAGTGGGTGGGGTCAGGCCAGAGGGGCATGTGCCCCCTCTGGGCACACACTGGCTTCGTCCCTGGGTGCGAAACACTGGACAAGCTATAGGGTGTCATGATCCCACACAGCATAGGGAAGGTGAAGTGCTCTATGTAAGGTTCGATACCCTTCTATGACACAACACATTTATCATAACTACGAAGTTAAGCGTGCTTATACTGGAGTCGTACCAAGAGGGGTGACCCCCTGGGAAGTGACCGGTTCGGGGGACCAAAAAGAGACAATATTGTGTCTGGTGATGGTTGTTACATTTTAACCATAATGTTGATTAATGTGCACATGAATTTAATCAGACCCTTCTTCCTAGCTATGTGTGTTGGTTACATGAATTGTTTTTTGGAATTGTGGTCTATCTAGTATATTATTGAGTTAAAATATGCCCCTCCAAGTTATGACATTTTTGCTTGAAATATGCTCATATACTTGGATATATGTTGGTATTTATTTACCTGTTTGTGCATAGCCTTATATACAAGTCCAAAGAAATACTACTCACCATGTTATATCTGTTAGAGAATCTTGAAATACCACCATGTTATTTTTCTGAGATGGTGTATATAGATAAATCAATGAAGTACATGGCCTATAAGAGGACGCATATCTCCCCTTTACAAAGAAATCAACAAAGAAAATCTCCACTTCCAATAACAAGGGAAGAAGAGATGACTTAAAAGGAATTTAATGAGAAACATTATAGACAAAAAGGAAGATCAGCCAAAGTGAACTCCATAAGATCCATTACCTCTCACCATGACCAGGATAATTTAGCTTTTTCATCAGCTTGTTTGATCCCTTGGTCATGAAGTCTTGAATTTCTCTCCATCCATATATTCCATAAAACTGTGGAAATAATTCTTCTACACAGTGTGTTGTGGACTTAGAATTCAGATTTGCAACAACCCAACATATTAATTGCTGTGAATTGAGAAATGAAGGCATGTTCCAAGCCAAAAGAAGAGAAAACCAGTCCGAAACCTGTCTGAAAAAACCTAGTAATGTTAGAGAATCTTGAAATGCCTAGTAATGTTCCGCGTAAGTATACTAGCTGCCTTGCTTTTTTGGTAGCCATAATTTATTTCACCAGCAACGATTATTTTAATGAGTATGCGGTGCATATTCACACATGATAACCTTATTTTTCTATTTTGTGTTTTGGCAATTCAAATATTTCCTTGGTATTTCTTTCTATGTTTGTACTCATTGATTCATACTGTTGGCAGCACACTCCGCGGGTAAATGGGGAAATACCTGATGTGACTGATGCAACCTTAGACCATGAGCGGCTGTCAGAAAGGTTACAATTTTACTAGAGCTTGACATGCAATCTATAGATTGTTTTGTTGAAAACATGCTCACTGTCAGTTTTTAGTTGCAGGTTATTCTTTGGTTAATTACTAATGCCATTTCTATGACAAATTTCAGTCTTTCTTGTCCATCTTTGAGTCTTGTATGGAACTTTTTAGTGACTACCATCATATTTATATAAGTTTCTAACCTTTTTGCATGCCTTGAAATCATGGTCTAACGTTTCAAATATTACTCTGTCAGCAAGCTCTATATTGTCGCTAATCGTGTGATGAGTCCTCTACGGTTTGAATTGTTATTCTTTATTCTTTTCACTGAAATCTACTTCCTGGATATAGTTTATCTAGCAATCATTTTTTGTCTATATTCTTTGATTTTGCTGGATGATGACTGTTGTGCTTAAAAAGCCCTGTTGATAGGTGTGATCTTTAGAGAGTAGCACCAAATGTTTGGTTTTACATACTTAATGTCTCAAATATAAATAACTTTTGGTTCTTTCATAAATATTTCTGTCATTCAGGTTGGCCACATATGGTTTAACTGAACTTCAAATGGAGGGAGACGGCAATTGCCAGGTTGTAGCTTATATTGGTTTGATTATTATCATTGCACTCCGTATTTCTATTCACATATATATATGTATATCTTTTTTCAAGGGGATAAATATCTATAATTTGTGTCAACTTATTCTTGCATCCTTTTTTTTATTTTTTATTTTTCAAAAAAAAATTTATTTTCTTCTTAATATGCTTTCTAATTCACATGTTTGACTTATTGGACAGTTTCGAGCTCTTGCGGATCAGTTGTTTCACAATCCAGAGTACCACAAACATGTAAGAAAGCAGGTTTTCAAGCAGGTGAAGTTCAGATAACTCTTTTAATTCATTTTATCGCGCTCACCTTGGCATAAGTATTACAAAGTATATCGGATATTGAAATTTCAAAAGCTGACATTTAAATTGAATGGTCTCAGAAGATCATGTTTCATCAAAAGATTTTATTAATTGGTTCTACCAACTTCATCTTTAAGTTTAAATTGGAATGTTGTCCTTTGATTTTCTTCATTAACAACTGATTTATTTAGTCATACTGCATTTTATTGGCTCTACCAACTTCCATCTTTAAGTTTAAATTGGAATGTTGTCCTTTGATTTCGTCATTAACAACTGATTTATTTAGTCATACTGCATTTTATTGGCTCTACCAACTTCATCTTTGGGATGCAGCTTATTTGTGATCGTAATTGTAGGAGCGAGTTCAGTGTATTGATTTTTTTTTTTTCCTAAAAGAATTTTTATATAAAACAAGTTTAAGGTTATATTACAAGGCCACTCAGTAAGGGCATACCCTTACAATACAAACAAGCAAGAACTGCAAAAGAGAGCAAAACAAGCCGAAACTTGCAGGGCAATACAATAAAAATGAAGTCCTAACTACTTAATGACATCCTGAAGAGCAATTCCCAAGACACCAAGCACCTCACCAATAATGCGTCTAGTAAGTTCCATGGGAGTAGAATGAGCACTACCATGAAATCTAGCACTCCTTTCCATCCAAATATGATGAAGAGTTGCAGTGAATAGCATGCAAGACACCTTGTGCCTTGTAGACTTAGTAGTGTATATGCAGCAAAGGCTGTAGCCAGTTCATGAATCCCTTCTTGAGTCTGCAAATCCCAACCCATCAAGGACAATAAGCAACACCAAACCTCCCATGCAAAGTAACAGGAAACAAATAAATGATTAACTGTCTCCTCACTGTTCAAGCAGTTTTGACACACCGACGGCATAACCATCCCTCTTCGTCGAAGATTTGAGCATGTCAGGGCTGCATCGTGGATAGCATGCAAAACACCTTGTGCGTTGTAGACTTGGTAGTATATGCAGCAAAGGCTGTAGCCAGTTCAAGAATCCCTTCTTGAGGCTGCAAATCCCAACCCATCAAGGACCCTAAGCAACACCAAACCTCCCATGCAAAGTAACAGGAAGCAAATAAATGATTAACAAATCTCCTCACTGTTCAAGCAGTTGTGACACACCGACGGCATAAACATCCCTCTTCGTCGAAGATTTGAGCATGTCAGGGCTGCATCGTGGATATAAGCACAGCATATACCAACCACCTAACTCGACCACCATTCCAAACCAAATGAAACTAGGACACGAGACAAGGAGAAGCGTGACCTAAGCGAATAGCTCAAGCCACTCACACAAGGGGCAAATTAAGGCCACAAGCAAAAAGGATCTTCAGCAATTCTTGAGAGACGAGCGTTCGGGTCATCAGGGGTAAGGGGGTCGATAAGGAAGCATCGCTCTTCTAGAGCTGTTCAAAATGATCTCTCCTCTGCCCTCTGCTGTCCGCCAAGGGCTTTTAGCGGCAGTAAGCTCAAAAGCCTCAGTATGCCCTGAAATCTCTTGAATCTGTACAGCGGGAGAAGATAAGACCCTATCTTCACTTGAAATTTAGAGAACTTGGTTGTTGAGGAATCAAAGGTTGTTTAATATATTTCCCCCTTCCCACTGGCTAGTGGTCTCTTGATGCCCCACTTTCTTGATGCTTTGAATAGCGTATCGTACCCAACAAGCTAGACCAACTATGTTATATGGACTGAGTGTTGGGCCTTAAAAAAGAAACAAGAACGACACATTCATGTAGTGAAAATGAGAATGTGAAGATGGATGAGTGGAGTGACTAGAGATTAGGTCACTAAATGGAAGTGTGAGGAAAATTAGGTGTTGCAAGCACCCATTGGTGAAAAAATTTGAGAGAGCATATGAAGTGCATATTTAATAAAGATTCGGATTTCAACTAAGAAAAAAAAATAAGATTCGGATATAGATAATATAATGATAGTACTTTAAAACCAAAGGATTACTCAAAACAACCACTTTCTGTATCTAGGATCGATAATACAAAAGGAGGGAGAGATTGATAGTGATGTAACTGGTAGAATTGGCATGGGTTGGACAAAATGGAGACATACTAGTAGGATTTTATGTGATAAAAGAATAAAACATAGCCTAAACCGTTATTAAACCAACTATGTTGTATGGAGTGGAGTGTTGGGCCTTAAAAAAGAAACAAGAAAGAATATTAAGATGGATGAGTGGAGGACTAGAGATTGGATCACTAGATGGAAGTGTGATAAAAATTGGGTGTAGCAAGCACCTGTAGGCGAAAAAATTCGAGAGAGTAGACTTAGATGGCTTGGACATATGTATCAGAGACCTAGCGACGTGCCAGTCAAACGAGGAATACTAGTTGTAATAGAAGGTAAGGGATGGAGAGGGCGGCCAAAAATAATATGGGATGAGGTTATTAAAAATGATTTAAAAAATTTAAGTATAGTAGGTGAATATGTAATAGAAAAGCTTAGAGAGAGAGAGAGAATTCATGTGGCCGACCCCACTCATATCGGATTAAGGTAAGGATGATGATGACTATTAGTATTATTATGGGTGGAGGATAAGTGATTCTCTCTCTCTTCTTCTTCTTCTTTTTTTATTTTTATTTTTATTTTTAATTTTTTTTTTCCTTTGCTTTTACACATATAGATACACATGTATGTGGGTATCATATGTATAAATGAGGTATATGTTAATAAACTTGTATTGACAATTTAATGTTACAAACACAACATCTACAACAATCTATGGTGATATTTCCATTGCATATTTCTCATTGAAGGGAGCTTTTCTTTTTATCATCATTTGTTCTTATTTTAGTATCTGAAATTATTTTCAGCTAAAGCATTTCAAAAAGTTATATGAAGCCTATGTCCCGATGAAGTACAAAAGCTACCTGAAGAAGATGAAAAAGTCAGACATCTGGTTGATGCATATTGATTATCTTCCTGCAAAATTAGATCATGTTTTAATGATTTTTGATGTGACTAATATCTGATTGTATCTTTTTACAAAATTTTATGTGGGACTAGATCAGGGGAATGGGGAGATCATGTTACTCTACAAGCAGCTGCAGACCGTGTAAGCCAAATCCTTATATTTTCTTTATTTATGCTATTTAGAAGCTCATTTCAAATTATGTTTTAGCTAGGTTTTCTAATTCTCCCACTGCTGTCTTGCCATCTTATTATTTTCTTTATCAAATGACTGACATGTGAATTTGTGTGGCATATTAGGCATCATACACATTTAGGTATGAAATGATAGAATAAAAAGGTGATGAACACGATTGTCCTGCAATCTCTACTCGTGGACCTCACATTTTCTAAACTTTTAGAGGTCCACGAGCTGAATCTACAGAAAATCTTACTCCCGTATTAAAGGGAAAGAAAATCCTACTACAACAAGGTCCTGGGGAGGGAGGACTCGAGATAGACCTTTTCTTGGGAGTAACAGTCTTTTACCTAATTTTGTTGCTGAAGATTGACAATGTGGCCCTTCTAGTTGATGTTGCTAGAAAGTTCTATTCCTTTGTAAAATGGGTTTCTGATTCATAATTATTAACTTTCTGTACAACTTTTAGACATTCTATATGCAACCTTCTTATTACTTCTTTATTAAAACTGATTTATCTTTATGGGCAGTTTAATTATCCGCTTTGCTAGCATCCAGATTTTTGTAAGTTCTAAAATCATTGGTTTCTGATGTATTTAAAACACTTTCTGTAGTTTGAAGCAAAAATATCTGTAGTCACCTCATTTCGAGACACCTGCTACATTGAGATTGTTCCCAAGGACAAAAATCCTTCCAAAGGTAACTCAATGATATTTAGGCTCATATTGCTGTATGTTTATTTTAACTCATATAACTTTTTAGAATTTCTTTAAGTTGATTTAATTTTTCTTACACTATTGCATCATTAGCCCCTAGTTTTTGGCAACTTTTTGTTTCGCGATATCTTTTATTAATAAATGTAACATGAGCATAAAAGAATGAGTGTGTGTATATATATATATTTAATTTTGAATGAGATTTGAATATATTTTTCCCTTTGTTGAAATAATATCCTCATTTATTGTTGTAGAGAAATTGATTAGGATGATTCCAAATATGGGCCAAAATTTTAGTATTATCTGCAATTGAATATTCAATTTGGAACTAACTCCTATATTCAGACTCTCAGTAACTGGAATATCAGTAACTGCAATACTGATAATAAGATGGAGACTTTAAGTAGGTGGGTGTATAGAGGATAACAAGCATGATATATATATATTTTAGTATTATCGGCAATTGAATATTCAATTTGGAACTTGCACCAGTAAATGAGAGAGAGGGAGGTTAAGTGGATCACTAAAAGAAGCAGTAGCCTGTTCTTTTATTGTACCCCATTATTAATCCCTCTAAGAGTAGGGTTTGATTGTGAACACAAAGGTGAAAAAGAATAAATTCTGATATTCTCTTTTCATATATCATATGTTAGTTTACAGGCCTATATATGTAGAAGTGTATTACAAATTCTATCTAAGGAAAAGATATATACATATCATAATTTTAAAAAAGTCAACTATCTAACTATGGATAATTCCTAAAAATCCTCCCTAACTAATTTCCTAACAATTCAGTCTAGATCTTTCCACACTCCCCCTCAAGCTGGCTCGAAAAAATATCTTGCATTCCCAGCTTGCATGTAAGATTGTCAAATTTCCCCTTCGGGAATCCTTTAGTGAGGATATCTGCTACCTGTTCTCCTTAATAAATAGGGCATACATATCACTCCTCCTTCCAATTTCTCCTTAATAAAATGTCGATCAACTTCCACATGCTTAGTCCTATCATGTTGGACAGGATTATGAGCTATGTTGATTGCAGCTTTGTTATCATAGTAAAGCTTCGTAGGCATTGGACTTAAGATTTTAAGATCTTCAAGTAATCTTTTCAGCCACAAAAGTTAACAAATTCCATGAGCAACCCTGAACTCAGCTTCTGCACTACTCCTTGCTACAACGGTTTGCTTCTTGCTCCTCCAAGTAACCAAGTTTCCACCAACATAAGTACAGTAACCTGAAGTAGACCTTCTATCCGTCACACTACCTGCCCAATCAGCATCGGTATAGGTTTCAATCCTTAGATGGCCGTGGTTTTCAAACAACAAACCTCTTCCAGGTGATCCCTTTTGGTATTTGAGAATCCAGTAGACTGCCTCAAAGTGTTCTTCTTCTGGTGAGTGCATAAATTGACTCACTACACTCACTGCAAATGCAATATCTGGCCGAGTGTGTGAAAGATAAACGAGTCTTCCAACCAGCCTTTGGAATTGCTCTCGGTTCACCACTTTTTCTGCACTTGTTGCCTGCAACTTTAAATTGGGCTCCATTGGTGTTTCCACCGGTTTGCAGCTAAGTAAACCAGTTTCTATAAGTAAATCAAACATATACTTCCTCTGAGAGACAAATATCCCTCTCTTGAATCTGGCAAATTCCATTCATAGGAAGTATTTCAAAGCGCTAAGATCTTTTATCTCAAATTCCTTTGCAAGAAAAGACTTCAAATCCTCCAATTCTCTTTTATTATCTCCGGTCAAGGTTATGTCACCCACATGAACAATAAGTATGGCTATCTTACCATCAATTGAATGTTTGTAGAACATAGTGTGATCAGCTTGACTTTGACGATATCCATGACCCTTGATAGCTTTAGTGAATCGATCAAACCATGCTCTGGGTGATTGTTTCAAACCATATAGCGATTTCTTCAATTTACACACCTTTCCAGCTCCATAATCATTTTCAAATCCTTGTGGTAGATTCATAAACACTTCTTCCTCTAGCTCACCATTTAAGAACGCATTCTTTACATCTAACTGCTGCAATGGCCAACTCAAGCTTCCAGCAAGAGACAACAGCACCCGTATGGAATTTACCTTTGCCACCGTGGCAAAGGTTTCCTTGTGATCTATTGGCAAAGGTTTCCTGGTAATCTATTTCATATGTTTGGGTGAAGCCTTTAGCTACGAGTCTTGCCTTGTATCTCTCAATATTACCATCAGCCTTATATTTAACCGTGAACACCCATTTGCAGCCTACAGTCTTCTTCTCCCTTGGCAACTCAACAATCTACCAACTTTTGTTCTTATCAAAAGCCCTCATCTCTTCCATAATTGCTGCCTTCCACTCAGTATGATTCAAGGTCTCCTGTATGGTTCTAGGAATTGAAACACTAGAGAGATTAGTGGTAAAAGTTCTATAATTTGGAGATAATCTATGGTAAGGCACATAATTAGCAATAGGATGCATGGTACAAGAGCGAGTACCCTTTCTGCGCAAGATCTCCACGACCTCCGCGTTCTCCTTGCGCAAGGTCTGGATCAATTGCCAAAGTTCCTCTTGTCGACCGTTCTGGTTAACCTCCTGAAAACTATATTAGGAAACGAAGCTGTGTCATCAATTGGATCGGAAAACTATTGGAAAATCACTCGTCGACTTCCCACAGACGGTACCAGATGAAGATGCAAGAAAATGGTTCTCTATATTAGGAAAGGATTTACTTACACTCCAATCAGAATACCTTTACATTCTCTCTCACCTTCCTTTTATAGAAGTCCCTTTGCCCTAAAATTCTTTGCGGGCTTGGTTTCCTCTTGGGCTGTTCCACCACAAAGACAGGTTCGATATAAAAAATGAGTGGACTAGGCAATCGCTGGAATTTCTTTTCAAATGGGTGGGCTGGGCCGAATTCGGCCCAGTAGGATTTTATGCCCCTTCATCTGCAAATGGGTCTACCTAATAAAGTATCATGTAGACTGAACAATTGAGAGATATAAAGCTCGGTTAGTTGCAAAGGGCTTCACTTAGACCCATGGAATTGATTATCTGGAAATATTTGCTCCAGTTGCCAAGATGAACTCTATATGTGTTCTTCTTTCTTTGGCAGCTAATTTGAATTGGCCCTTACATCAGCTGGATGTAAAGAATGCTTTCCTTCATGGTGACTTGGAGGAAGAGGTGTATATGACTATGCCACCATGATTTAAGCTTGCCAATGGTCAAAATTTAGTGTACAAGCTAAATAAAGCCTTGTATGGGTTAAAGCAGTCGCCACGTGCTTGGTTTGAGAGGTTCAACACTGTTGTGAAAAGAGTAGGGTACACATAGAGTTAGGCAGAGTATACTCTCTTCATTAAGAAGTACCAGGGTTGCATCACTGCCCTTATTGTATATATTGATGATATTGTTATCACTGGAAATGATCCAAAAGAGATTCGTCGAATGAAGTCATTCTTGGGAACATAGTTCGAGGTTAAAGACCTCGGATCATTGCGATACTTTCTTGGCATCGAGGTGTGTAGATCGAAGAAAGGGGTGTTCATTTCTCAACTGAAGTATGTGTTAGATTTGTTAGCTGAAACAGGCAGGCTTGGAGCTAGACCTATTGATATTCCCATTGAGTAGAACCATAGGCTAAATGATGTAGATGGAGGCCCATTAGATGATGCGGGAAGATTTCAGCGATTGGTTGGGAGACTGATTTACTTATTTCTCACGTGCCTGGATATTGCCTACGCTGTTAGTGTGATTAGCCAGTTTATGCATGCTCTGCGTACACCTCACCTTGAGGCAACTCATCATGTTCTTCCTTACCTCAAGGGCTCACCTAGTAAGGGGATATTGTTAGGGAGTCATGGCTACTTGCGTGTTGAAGCCTATACTGATGCTAATTGGGCAGGGTTTGTGACAAATCGACGATCTACTTCAGGATATTGCACATTTGTTGGAGGTAATCTTATTTCATGGCGAAGCAAGAAACAGCCTGTAGTCGCTAGATCTAGTGCAGAGGCTGAGTTCAAATCCATGACACATGGAGTTTGTGAGTTGTTATGGCTACGTACGATGTTGAGTGAGTTGGGTTATCCTGTTCGCGAGTCAATAAAGTTGTATTGTGACAACAAGGCTGTTATTAGCATTGCCCACAATCTAGTTCAACATGACAGGACAAAGCACATTGAAGTCGATCGATACTTCATCAAGGAAAAACTTCGTTTTGGGCTGATTTGTACTCCATACGTCAACACACATGATCAGGTTCATGATCAGATTGCTGATGTTTTGACTAAGGGTGTGAGCAAGACTTGCTTGCAAAATATGTTAGTCAAGTTGGGCATGATAGATATCTTTGCACCAGCTTGAGGGGGAGTGTTGTCAGGGGCTTATTTGTTATTACTTATATAATGTTGAGGCTTATGTGTAATTTCTAAAACTTTTTATTATAAATAGAATGTGGTGGAAGGATGAAAGTATTCTTTAACTCTCTTTTCCCATCTCTCTCTCTTTTTCTCTCATCCACTTTCTTCTCGTTTTCTTCTCTTCATTATCACTTGGTCTTGATTTGATTATATCTTAAAGTCAACAACTCATTGGAAACATATTCACGACCATTGTCAGACCTAATATTCCTAACAACAGTTTTATATTGACTTTTGATCATTTGGAGGAATTGAGTGAACAAGGGAAAAACTTCAGATTTCTTTTTATGTAAGCATACCCATGTGTAACGGGATTAATCATCAATGAATGTGACATAATAACGATGCCCCGAAAAAGCAGTAACAGGAGAAGGACCCCACACATCAGAATGTGTTAGAATATATTAAAAAAAAAATTGTTACTATGTATTGTTAGAATATATTCTATAATATATTGTTACTATGTCTAGGTTTACCATATAGGGTTTAGGATTACTTGCTCTCCACACATATCATCTCCTATATAAACCCCTATGTATTCTTATATCTTTCACATCAATACAATATAATA